GTTCAGGGGACAGGCTCGTGGTTGCCTTGTGACTCTTTTGCAGGGTTTAGGGAAGGCTTTTTGGTGGACCCAGGAGTCAATCTGGGCTAGAGTGCTACGCTTACATAGGGTTAGGCTTAGGGTTTTGCGGCCGACTCCCAATATGGAGGGGGACAGGACCGCTGCGAAGTTGCAGGGTGTGGGCCGGGGATAGGGCTTACTGGCTTGGCTCAATTTTGCAGGCGTGAACGTTTTTGTTCTCGGCGCTCTGCCCAGACAATATTGTCATTGAGCAGACAGTGCGAGGGTTGGAGGGTTTCGGGTTCAGGGTTTAGGGTTTACGGTTGGACTTCGGAAGCTGTGTACTCGAAGTGCACGTCTGACCGCCTGAACGCTGGCATCCGTGGGCTTAGCTGTGTGTTGGGCGGGAGCGCTTTAGAAATATAGCCCAAACATTCCTTCAAGCTATTACCCCTTAACCTTAATGGGTCCTTGACAGGAGAAGATAGGGGAATTTAGCCCCTGAATTATCTTCAGGTTATGCGCAGGGGGGGATGTTGAATATTTCTAGGTCGTAGAGCCGCACAAGAACAGCCTGAACCCCCATCCGAGCTTTGAGCCTCGTTGCCAAGCCTTACTTTAGCCTTCCCACGTGCAATAGTACATATCTCGGCGCTCTAAATCCTCAAACCCTAAGCCCAAAACCCTCAACCCTAAACCCTAAACCCTAAAACCTAAACCCTAAACCCTAAACCCTAAACCCCATGGGGAACAGCTCGAACCGAGACTCACTCAGAAGCAGGGCTTTGAGCCACTACACAACTTGGCTTCTTCTGGCTGGCTCTTAGGACTTTTTTAACCTTTGGGGATTTTGTAGAAAATACAAGAAGGAGCTTGAAAGTTAGATGTTTTAGGAGGGGTTCAGAAGTCAGCCAAGAAAAAGGGGCCGGCATAATAATTATTATTCCCTCAGAGTCCCTTTACAGATATACTGCAACATCCCCCAAAACCCTATTCTAATTCTGAAGGCCCCTACATGATAGAAAAAAGCGGGGGCCTACAAGCGGAGAAATTGCAGGACTTCCGCGTCCGGCCATCCCAACCCGGTTTAGGATCTAGGGTTGCCTGAAGGTTCGTGGGTAGCTACAAGTTGGTGTTATTTGGGATCTTTAGGGTTTAGGGTTTAGGGTTAAGGGTTGAGGGTTTTGGGTTAGGGGTGTACGGCTTGGTTGTCAGTAGAAGTACGCACGTTTTCGGTAGGACAGTGCACAGTGTAGATGCAGCTATCTCGGCGTCTAGCGCTGTTTTTGGGGGTTCGTGGAGTTGTGGCAGTACCTAAACCCTAAATCCCTAAATCCCAAGCACTATAAAACCCTAACCCTCAAACCCTAAACCCTAAATCCCACACACTATAGAGCCCTAAACCCTAAACCCTAATCCCTAATCCCTACACCCTAAACCCTAAACCCTAACTCCCGGTTCTGAACCCTGGCGGGTTCTAGGTGGCTTCCCTCACAACTCACAGCGCGGTGGCCGAGGACGGTGTGCAGACCTCGGGATCAGCTCAGGGTTTAGGGGTTTAGGGTTTAGGGTTTAGGGTTTAGGGTTTAGGGTTTAGGGTTTAGGGTTTAGGGTTTAGGGTTTAGGGTTTAGGGTTTAGGGTTTAGGGTTCGGGGTTTCGGGTTTGGGGTTTAGGGTTTCGGGCTTCGGGCTTCGGATATTTTACGGGTTAGGGTCTAGGGAACCACAACACCCCCCATCAGAAGCCCTAGAGCCTGTTTGAAACCCCTAAGCAAGCCTCGACAAACCCTACGTAACTCCCAGCCGCTAAGCCCTTGAAGCCCCTTAAGCCCTTAAGCCTTCACGCAAGATCTGCAAGGCCGCCAAGTAGTACTTCTCTTTTCGTTGGGAGGTTTAGGACAGATATGTACCCTAACCCCTAAACCCTAAAAACCTGAACCCTAAACCCTTAACCCTGCACCCTAAACCCTAAACCCTAAACCCTAAGCTTTTTAAGTGGTTGCGAAGTTGAACTGGGGGTTTCCGAAATTTGGGGTACCTTCTCGGAGCCCTCATTATAAGGGGATCCTACTACTTGCGGGTCAAAAATAAGGGGTCCTGTATTTTCGTAAACCTCCAACTTCGACTCAGGGTTTACGTTTAGGGTTTTAGGGTTTAGGGTTTAGGGTTCTCATGCTTACAGCTTCGCTAGGACTTCCAGTCGCAACTTCCCGTGACTTTCCTTGGAAGCTCCCCCAAATAAGTCCCGGCTGCAAGACCCGGATTCTAGAGAGCCGGTGTGGTTGAGGGGTTAGGGTGTTGAGGCGTCGGGCGTCGGGGGGGGGGTCAGTTCGTGTATCTTATTTTTGAGGCCAAAACCCTAAACCCTAAACCCTCAACCCTCAACCCTCAACCCTCAACCCTCAACCCTCAACCCTAAACCCTAAACCCTAAACCCTAAACCCTAAACCGAGTTGGAGCTAAGGCCTTGAACAGCCCAGTGTCGACGTCCGCGAGCTGGGCGAGTCTGAACACCAGGCGCGGGGAGGCTTTTTTTAGGTTCTTGCGTTTAGGGGCAACGAGGGAAATTTTATGGGTTTAGGGGTTTGGGGTTTAGGGTTTAGGGTTTAGAGGTTTAGGGTTTAGGGTTTAGGGCTAGTTCTGACTGATGTTACAAGAAAGTGTTAGCAGTAGTTCAGAACTGGATGTAGCCTTGTCGGGGGCACCTTGGTACCCTACATACCCTTCAAGTAGGGGCTTGGGGTTTGTGGTTCTAGGGGTTAAGGTTTCGGGTTGAGGGTTTACTGCTGACTCAGGGTCTGGGGTTTCAGGACCCTAAACCCTAAACCCCAAACCCCAAACCCCAAACCCCAAACCCCAACCCCAAACCCCAAACCCCAGACCCTGTCCAGTGTGGGACATGGCGACGCCCACAACACGCTGCAGGAGGTGGAGCTCAGTCAGGCGCGGACGGTGGGTTTTCCGCGTTTAGGGTCTCTAAACCCCAAACCTTAAGCCCCTGAACCCAGGAAGCCCCTAAACCCCAAACCCTAAACCCTGAACCCCAAACCCCTAACCCCCGAAACCTTCAACCCGGAGGTTGAACCCTAGGTGCGGACCAGACCCAAACAGAAAGAACAAGCTCCACACCCGATGTCTTAAATTTTTGGGCTCAGGGTTGAGGGTTTAGGGTTTAGGGGGAAATCTTGAGGCTTTAGACCCTTGCGAGCCTGAATCTAAGTGGGGGTTGTTGGGGTTTGGGCTACGGGTTTAAGGGACCCTACACTTTATACGTGGAGGTTCATGGTACTTAATTAGCCAATTATGCCTGTACTTATAACTGTATCAACCATATTAGGGCACTTAAGGGGCTTGTAAGTGGGTAAGAAGTACAATTAAACTTGGTTGATAAGTACCACGAACCCCAACCCTAAACCCCAAACCCTAGTGGACCCTAAACCCTAGCCCTAAACCCTGAACCCTAATTAAGCCCTATGAACCTCCAAGTAACCGAACAAGGTCTTCGACATCTTGCCGATCTACGGCAAGCTGGAGCCGGGGGAGACTCAGGTCGCCACGTTCACGTGGCCTGGCTCGCAGAAATGAGAGTTTTCATGATCCCAACACCCGGTTTAGGGTTTGGGGTTTGGGGTTTGGGGTTTGGGGTTTGGGGTTTGGGGTTTGGGGTTTGGGGTTTGGGGTTTTCACCTACTTGGAGGTATCCGAGCATGCAGGGCAAAGGGGATTCGACCATATTTTGGGGACATGGCGCATGCCCAAAGAAAACCCCCCACCTTGCTTGTTTTTCTGTGTTTGCTTAGATTGTGTAAGAACTCTTGAAGAGAATTTTCGTAATATCCGACCAGAAAAGACTGCAGGTTTGGGAGGTGGGTGATTTGGTGTTGGAGTTTACCTGGGCCTAAAGGTCCGCGTTTGCCTACCATTTCGGGTTTAGAGGTTGAGGGTTAGGGGTTTCGGGCAAGCTCGCATAAAAGGGCCTCTTTCCCTGCGTTTCCTCTCCCTGGACCCTTCCAACCACCCTAAACCCTACACCTTAAACCCTATTCCCTCAACCCTAAAGCCACCTGTCACCCACCCCCCCACCCCATAGCTTTTAGACTTACATCCCCCTCCCCCAAAGTTCCGTATCCTCTTAAAAGAACCCCTGTAAACCCAAAGTCCAAAAACCCTGAAAAAACCCTAGCACCCAAAACCGCAGAAACCCTAAAAAAAGCCCAGAACCCTAAACCCCAAAACCTTAAAACCCTCAAGTCCCCAAACCCAAAACCCTCCCTCACATCACGAATCCCAAGCCCTGAGCTGGAAGCCTTTGGATTTAGGGTTTAAGGGTTTAAGGGTTTTAAGGTTTTAAGGTTTTTAAGGTTTTAAGGTTTTAAGGGTTTCAAAGTGTTAAGGTTTAGCAGTTTCGGGGTGAAGGTGGCGAGTCTTGGGTTCTGCGTGTTGGGCTTTGGGTTCAGGGTTCAGGGTTCAGGGTTTAGGGTTCAGGGTTCAGGGATCAGGGTTTAGGGTTTAGGGGGGTTTAGGGCTAAGGTTTAGGGTTTAGGGTTTAGGGTTTCGGGTTTAGGGCTTCAGGTTTGGGGCTGAGGGCCTTGGGTTTAGGGTTGGGGTCTGGGGTTCAGGCTTCAGGGTTCAATGTAATGGGGTCGTTTAAGCCCGGATGAGGTGAGCAGCCCATATGTGTTGCAACAAACCGTTTGGGGTTTAGTAGCGGAAGGTTGTGGGTTTGGGGCTTAGCTTTCAGGGTTTTCAGGGTCAAGGGTACCCTAACCCTAAACCCTAGTATCAAGTTTTGAACTTGGTGTGCCTCGGCACGTGTTTCCAGTTGGCCGAAATTGTTCGAGAAGGTCCTGGAACCCCAACTAGCTCCAAATGTTTGGAGGCTATCCAGAGGCGATGGATCACTTGGGCTGGCCATCCCAGCTCCATGAAGTGCGACCGCGGATTGCACAACCGCGGAATCTTGGCCCAGTATATGAGTGCCCATGGAGTGCAAATCACCCATGCGCCTTTGGAGACTCCAGAAGCCATTGGACGAGTTGAACGACATGGAGGCGTTCTCAAAGCTATGGTTCGGAAGACAGCTGCCCAAGTTCAAACCCTAAACCCCAAACCCCTAAACCCTAAACCCCAACACCAAAACCAACCGCCAACTGCCCGCCATATGTCGCCAGGTACGAGGCACTCCGCGACAGGTCCTTCAAAGCGGTGGCCGTTTGCATGGTGGACGGAGGGCCAGAGTACGAGGTGGCCAGTCGGGTTAGGGCTAGGGATGTTTAGGGTGTAGGGTTTAGGGTTTAGGGTTAAGGGTTTAGGGTTTTGGGGGTTTAGGGTTTGTAGGGTTTAGGGTTTAGCTTCGGGTTTGGGGTTTAGTGTTTCAGGGTTTTAGGGCTTAGGGTTTAGTGGGCTCAGGCCCTTATTGGGCTTTGGGGTGTGAGGGGCTTAAGGCTCTAAGGCTTTTGGCGTTCATGGGTTAAAGCGTGAGGGTTTCGGGGGAGGGCTATATGAAGAGGGTGGAGCGTTTTATGGCATAAGGACGTTCGGATGGTTAGGGTTTTTGTTGCGGTGTTGGCTTTAAAGGGACCTTGTCTCTCCAGGCGCAGCAAAGAAAGCAGCCTGGCTGCCTATACTCGGTGAACGACTTGCGCGCGCACTCCTGTACGATCCCTATGAGGAAAAAGCGCGGCAGGTTGCCCTAAACCCTAAACCCTAAACCCTAAACCCTAAACCCTAAACTCTAAACCCTAAACCCTAAACCCTAAACCCTAAACCCTAAACCCTATCCCCTAAAACCCTAACCCCTAACCCCTAAACCCTAAACCCTAAACCCTAAACCCTAACCCCTAGACCCTAAACCCTAAACCCTACACCCTAAACCCTAAACCCTAAACCCCAAACCTTAGCAGACAACCTGGCCTCCACCTTGCTGCCCTTGCATGTGGCCTTGCAGGGCAGGTGCAGCACCTCAGGTCTTCAGCTCCTTCTGATTTCCGTTGGCGGGATCTAGGGTTTAGGGTTTAGGGTTTAGGGTCTAGGGTTTAGGGTTTAGGGTTTAGGGTTTAGGGTTTCGGGCCAGACCTTTCTGCGGCAGAGATGCAGACTTTCAAGACTTCCAGATGCGGTTTGGGGCCTCATGGTTCTTGGTGGCATGCAGGGCCTGATTTCCTAGGTAGGATAAGGGGGGACCCTTCAAAGGATACCCCTTCTGAACCCTCTTCCGGCTCTCTGAAACAGGGACCTTATTCAGAGGGTCTAGATCCCCAAGGGTCCCCCCCTAATCCTATCCCCTATAGGGTTTAGGGTTTAGGGTTTAGGGTTTAGGGTTTAGGGTTTAGGGTTTAGGGTTTAGGGTGAAGGCCAGGTAGCCGGAGACCACCAAGGCAGCAAAGTCCATATTCGACCCTCGAGGGCCTGCTGTCGGCGGATTCTAAACCCTAAACCCTAAACCCTAAACCCTAAACCCTAAACCCTAAACCCTAAACCCTAAACCCTAAACCCTAAACCCTAAACCCTAAACCCTAAACCCGAAAGTCACTCGGAACCACCTGCTTGACCCATTTTTGTTCCCCTCGCCCCCTTCTGAGCTTGCCAGGTCTCTTTGAAGGGCACCGCCGCACCGTGCAAGTACAGCTTGGACAGGATGGGCGCTGCTGCGGTTTGGGGTTTTAGGGGTTTAGGGTTTGGGGTTTAGGGTTTAGGGTTTAGGGTTTAGGGTTCAGGGTTCAGAGTTTAGTGTTTAGGGTTTCGGGCTTCATTCCTGGCAGTTTAACGGCCCCGCCAAAAACGGGCCCACAACTACCCTAAACCCTAAACCCTAAACCCTAAACCCTAAACCCTAAACCCTAAACCAAAAGCCTTAACCCTAAACCCTAAACCCAAAAAAAACCCGAAGCCATGAGAGCTGTTGGGTTGTTGGAGTTGCTGATGCTGTTTACCGCAGAGCTCGGCGGTGAGGCCACCCTAACGTGCGTTTAGGGTTAAGGTTTAGGGTTCAGGGTTTAGGGACCCAAAACGAGGCGCCAGAGGGGGGGGGGGGGCTAATTCTGGCCCTATGTCGGAGACATGGCAGCGAGGATGGAATTCCATGAAAAAAGCAAACCCACGTTCGTTGAAGGTATTCTTCATCTTGCGGCGCGTACAGTTCTTCCTACTTCAAACCTAAACCCTGAGCATCAGAACCTCTGTTTAGGCCTAGCCCTAAACCCTGAAACCCTTAGACAAGTCACGCGTGCTTGGATCGCAACCCTCAGTGACGTCAATCGACATGTGGACCAGAGACTCATTCTTGATATGGTCTAGATGGGTACCCGAAATCCAGTTGTTGTCGTTGCTGTTGTGGTTGTTGGTGCTGGTGCTGTTGTTAATATTGTCCTTTCTATATCTGTAAAATGACCAACTGCCTAACTCTCCCTCTCTCTCTCTCTCACTCTGTATAGCGATAGTTTTGGTCTGACCATCGTCTGACCTCAGCCACAGGATATGTGCCGCCTGGAGAGTGAAAACTGGATCCCCTGAAGGCCCAACCCTCTCAACCCCAAAAAGCCCGAAAACCCTGCACTAGGACCCTTCTTCCCAGCTTCAACACCCTAACTTCCCATTTTCATCCCTAGGTTCCCGGGCAACCCTTAAGGGGCCTCAATAATTAGGACAGGTTTTTGGGGTGATTCTAGTATCGGGAACATTATTATATAGTAGTCATTCCGACCCCCATAGTATGATGCTTCAGCAGGAACGACCTGGATTTCGGCGACATTCCGTTCACGGAGGCCGCCCCGTGCTGTGCCTTTACTTGGAGGTTCACGGTACATATTAACCAATTATAACTGGCCTTATTACCCACTTATAAGCCCCTTGAGTTGCCCCAATAGGGTTAAAAGTACAAGTATCAGTACAGATATAATTGGTCAATGAGTACCCTGAAATGCAAGTAGGGCTTTCTCTTGGCGAGCGCAGCAGGGTTCATGAGGGTTTTGAGGGGGGCTTAGGGCCCTTTGATTGATGGAAGTTGCGAGCAACAGCAGACGTTCACTATCTGGTCAGGTCCAAGCCCCAAACTCCTACCCCGAAGTGCCGTAAGCCCTAAACCCTAAGCCCTAAGCCCTAAGCCCTAAGCCCTAAACCCTAAACCCGAAACCCGAAGTGCCTGAGAGGTGGGTGAGTCGGAGATCTACTTGTCGAATCGCGGCCAGGTGGCGGCAGCGCTGCCCAGAATGGCCAGGGTTGGGGGGTTTAGGGTTTAGGGTTTAGGGTTTAGGGTTTAGGGTTTAGGGTTTAGGGTTTAGGGTTTAGGGTTTAGGGTTTAGGGTTTAGCCTTAATTCAACAGTCCTGAATAGGGATTATAATCGGGGGTACTAGACTCCCAATTAAGGACTGTTCGTATTAGGGGGAACAAAGGTTTTTCTGTTTTGGGGGGTCGAGGGCGCAGGGTTGGCTTATCTGCTTTAGGGTTTAGGGTTTAGGGTTTAGGGAACCTCCCTCAAACCATGTGAGCATGTGAGGATGCCTGTGCTATTTGAATTTAGGTTTGGGTATGGGAGAGTCTGGGAAGCCCAAACCACAAGTCCTAAACCCTAAACCCAAAACCCAAAACCCTTAACCCTAAACCCCAATTCCAAACCCTAAGCCCTGAGCCCAAGTGCCTGCGTATGCCTCCCAGGCTGGATGGTCAGTTTAGAGCTTACTGGGCATCTCCCCTCTATGGTGCGGATGTCCTGAGTTTGTATCTCGCAAATCTTGTCTTGTAAGCCCTAAGCCCAACAACCCCAAACCCTTAAACTGAAGCTCTAGATTCAACCCCAGCCCCTAAATTCCTGAGCCCTAAGCCCCAAACTCTTAAACCGTAGTGAAACCCCAAACCCGAGTGAAGCCCCAAGCCTGAATCCCCCCCCAAACCCTAAAGCCTAAACCCTAAACCCCAAACCCTAAACCCCAAACCCTAAACCCTAAACCCTAAACTGTCATGAGCAAGTAAGGCCAGCTTCAACTTTAACCTCGCCGGCATTTCGCGACCGCCCCGTGGCTGGAACCCATGGTCGGGCGGTACCTGGGGTTCCTAGGGTTGAGCGTTTAGGGCTTACCAGAACCTGAAGCCTAAACCCTAAACCCTAAACCCTAAACCCTAAACCCTAAACCCTAAACCCTAAACCCTAAACCCTAAACCCTAAACCCTAAACCCTACATCTCAAACCCTAAACCTTCAACCCTTTCCCTGAACCCTAAGAAGCCCTAAACCCCAATGAAACCCTAAACCCTAAACCCCAGATAATTGAGGGCTCAGGAGGGTTTAGGGTTCAGGGTTTCGAGCTTATTTAGGGCTTTGGGGGTGGGGCTTGGGCTCCTCGACTCGCTTCCTGTAGGGTTCTTAAGGGAAGGGGGGTTCAAGGGGGTAGGTACCTAGGGTTTAGGGTTTAGGGTTTAGGGTTTAGGGTTTTGGGTTTAGGGAACCTTAGGGAACTTAGGGAGCCTTAGGGAGTAGTGGGGAGTATTAGTGAACCTTCGGTTACATACCCCCCATGAATGAACGCCCCTCCCTTAAGAACCCCATAATGGGACTTCGTTGTGTAAACTGGCCCCTTAAACCCTGGCCCCTCAACCCGAAGCTCCGAATTCCTAAGCTCGAAGGCCTAAACCCTAAGCCCTGACCCGAAGCCCGAAGCCCTAACCTCACGGCAGGCTCAAGGGTGTTGAGTTTTGTGGCTTCTGGCTCTGGAACCCTTCAACCCTAAGCCCTAAGCCCTAAACCCAAACCCCCAAACCCCCAAACCCCCAAACCCCCAAACCCCCAAACCCCCAAACCCCGAAACCCCGAACCCCGGTTCGGTTTCGAGCTCGAGCTTGTGAACTCGGGGTTCCCGGGTTCCCAAACCCTAAACCCTAAGCCCTAAACCCTAAACCCTAAACCCTAGAAGCCCTAGAAATCCCAAACCCTGCAAACCCCAAGCCCTCAAAATCCTCTCAACCTGCGACACCCCAAAGCCTGTTCCCAAGCCCCCTAAAACCCCGAAGCCCTAATCCCTAAAGCGTAAACCCTAAACGCCCTACACACCAAACCCGAGAGCGACCCAAACCCTTGGGGTTTAGGGTTTAGGGTTTAGGGTTCATGGTTTAGGGTAAACCCGGAACACCCAAAGCCCTAAGTTGCTAGGTTCGTGGTCGACGTGGTGCCGAACAACGGCATCCTCAAGCCAGAGGAGCGTCTCAAGGCTCATGTTTTGGGGTTTGGGGGTTTTGGGGTTTGGGGGTTTTGGGGGTTTGAGGGTTTTGGGGGTTTTTGGGGTTTTTGGGGTTTTGGGGGTTTTGGGGGATTTGGGGGTTTTGGGGGTTTTGGGGTTTTAAGGCTTGAGGGTTTAGGGTTCAGGGTTTGGGGTTTGGGGCTTGGGGCTTCCCCAAACCTGAAATAAGCCCGGAACCCCAAACCCCAAACCCCAAACCCCAAACCCTAAACCCTAAACCCTGAACCCTGAACCCTAAACCCTAAACCCTAAACCCTGAACCCTGAACCCTAAACCCTAAACCTGGCTGATCCGGGTAGCTTCCTCACACCCTCTTCATGTGAGCTACTCACGGACCTCCACACTTTAGGGCTTAGGGTTGAAAGCTCACAGGGTTTAGGGTTTAAGGTTTAGGGTTTAGAGATTAGGGTTAAGGGTTTAGGGTTTGAGGTTTAGGGTTCCGAGTTCATGTTCGCGGGCGCAGGTCGTTGTGCGCTTCAGGGCGGGTATCCCCGACCTCGTGGCACTGGCCTCGGCTGAACCCCAACTGGGTATTGCTTGGGGATAATTTTAAGTTTCCCCTCTTCCCTTTTACGGGAACCTCTTTATAAATAATTTTCAAAGGGCTTTAAAGCAACACCCGGCCAAAGCCTGTACCGGTACCCTGAACCCTAATTCAGCCGTGTGACACCAGCACATCGCAGAGGGTGGGCCCAGCCCTCAACCTCTTTCCCCCTAACCCAAAACCCCAAAACCCAAAACCCTTAAACCCTACCCTAAAACCCCAAACCCCAAGCCCCCAACCCCCAAACCCCAACAAGGTGGTGTGGAGGTTTTTGGACCCTCAAAGAGCATCGGGCCCTTCCCACTGTATGGGCCCTTGCTCCTCCCAACCCCTAAGCCCCAAAACCATGGACTCCCAAGCCCAACATACCCTAAACCCTAAACCCTAAACCCTAAACCCTAAACCCTAAACCCTAAACCCTAAACCCTAAACCCTAAACCCTAAACCCTAAACCCTTCTTCCCTAACCCTAACCCTCCACCCTACATACCCCATGCCCGAAGCATCACCCTGCCCTACGCGGCGAGCAGAATCTTTCCAAGCCCTTCCCTGCTTGCTTATTGTGGAAAGCTCTTGTTCACGTGGTTGAGCCGTAAAACTCTCCGCACTGAACCCGAAACTCTGAGACCCCAAGCGAAGCCCGAAACCCGAACCGCAGCCACCGTGATCACCCCCAAACACGAAAAGACTCTTGCAGTCAACCTTGCACTAACCAAAACCCTAAACCCTAAACCCTAAACCCCTACACCCTAAACCCTAAACCCTAAACCCTAAACCCTAAACCCTAAACCCTAAACAATCACAGCCGCCCTCCAAGCGCCGTGGACCCGAAGCTGCCAAATTTCGAGCTGGTTCTTAGTAGGGAATGAGGTAATCTAATCCCTTAAAGGGTATATATTTCTAGGCCCCTAATTCCCTACTACTAAGAACCAGGGGGTGTTGTTTAGGGTTTCGGGTAAGTTCTCCGTGAGCCTGGGTCTGATCAAGGAACATTCCTTGGATTGCCCGAAGCTGATGAAAGGCGTGTGGGGTTACGCAAATACGGAGGACCCCGAAAAAAGACCCCTACTTAGTAGGATTCCCTCAGAATATAAGGACAACAATAAGGTACCCCTAATTCCGGAAACCCCCAGGTGTCGTACGAAAGTCTTGAAGCCAAATGGGCCTTTGGAAGCCCCGCGCCGCGGGCGCCCGAGGTGGAGACAGTTCTCGTTGAGGTGGCTCATTTCGAGCCCGTGACTCTCACGGTGCGTGCAGGGGCCCCCAGCGACATCCACCGTCCCAAAGCCCGTACAAGCCCACGAGCGCTACGAACTGCGTATCCCAATCTTAACACTTTCTTCCGGTACACCCTAAACCCTTAACCCTAAACCCTAATCCCCTAACCTGTAAGCCCTTATACCACTACTCGAGGTTGTTGTGGGGTTGACGGGGCTGGGTGGTGCGAAGGAGCCCGTGCACTCTGCCCCTTACAAAACCTGGGTCGTGGTACAAGCGACCCCTCCAAACTTCTGCTCCGTTTGCTGACCAAACCAGTTATCAAGAACCCTAAATCCCAAATCTACGAAACATCAACACCATCCTTTTTTGAAAAGCCCTTCATTCAGTCCGCAACTGATTCCTTCTAAACCCTAAACCCTACTCCTTAGACCCTAGACCCTAAACCCTAAACCCTAAACCCTAAACCCTAAACCCTAAACCCTAAACCCTAAACCCTAGCCCTAATGTTGAAGCCACCTGGGTGTGGGCTCGTCGGCGAGGTTCTGCAGGAGAGGGCCCCAGATGTCGTGAGCCCTCAACCCTTGGGGCATTTTCATATGAAGCAGGGTTTATATTTCTGTTTTTGGTGAGTGTATATAAGGTTTTTTTTTTTAATATTTCTGCGACCGTGATAGGAGTCAATGTCAGGCCAAAAGTTCTACTGCTGCCTGTCCTGGCCCATCTGACTCTGCGATCCTCGCTGCCATTCGTCTTCGTTGCCTTCGTCTTTTGTCGTTGGCTGAGCTGTCATTTCACAGGCTGCAGTTTGCTGATGTTTCTGTCACTTTGGATGACTCTGGCCTGCCTAAGCTGGAGGCCATTGTTGAGTCTCTTGTGAATTCGGTTACGAATCTCACTTATGACGGTGTCGTTCAATTATGCAAGGATAATTGTCGCTCCCCTTCTGCTTTTTCCAAATGGTGGAAAGCTGTTCTTTCTAGGTGGAAATGTCTCATTGATCATTGGCAAAAGGGCAAGCACTTTGTTCTCCCTTTTGATGTCACTGCTCGGGACGGTTTCTGTATAGCGTGCCACTTTGAGATGTCCAAACTTTTCAAAGTTTCTCATCAACTTTCATCGGAGACAACGTGTTCCGCATGCTCTCGTTTCACGTGTTAATGAAGTGCGCTCGGTCCTCTTGATGCTCGTGAAGGACTTGGAGCGGCTTCGTGGTGTGCTTTAGTTTTTCGCTTCTTGCTCGGACAGCTCTTCGGAGACTCCAGGGGTACAAGAAATATGTACCCGACTTCATATGGTCCCTTACCCTCCTTACAAGGGTTCTGAGGTTTGGGCCCTTGGGTTGTATAGAGTATATATATATATATGGGATATATAAGGGTTCCCCCTTGAAGGGCCGATATTAGGGGACCATGTAGCTACCCTTAGATCTAAACCCCAAACCCTGTGAAAATCCTAAGTCACAACTCTGATGCCCTAGGGCCTCGGCACCTTCCCTGGGATCGTGCTCGACCTCCCGCGAAAGAACGAGGCGTCCTCCGCCTTGCGGGCGTTTCAGGGCTTCCCTCGGTCAAGGGCTTTAGGGTTTTTAGGGTTTTAAGGGTTTCGGGCTTGGGGTTAGGGTTGCCTGAAAAATCGGCGGCCGTGGTTGGGAGGGGGTCCTTTTTGAAGGGTGGTTCTGCAAGATTTGGGGATCTAACAGGGAATCCGTCAATTGTGGAATTCCCATGTCGTTTCTTCAGGGTTTAGTGTTCGAGCTTATGGTTCGCGATTTCATGGGTAGTTCTAAGCGGCCGAAAAATGGGGTAAGTGCAGTTCTGTCTATTTGGTTGGAGCCTCGCACGTAGCATGCTTAGACCCTAAGCCGTAAACCCTAAACCCTAAACCCTAAAGCCGCCCAATATCCCAAAGTCCTGACAACACAAAGCCCACTTGAAGCAGGCTGAGCATAGGCTTCAACTCGAAGCAGCCGGTCGCCGGCTGCAGAGGTACACGGGACAGGGTTGAGGGTTTAAGGTTTAGGGTTTTAAGGTTTGGGGTTTTGGGTTTAGGGGTTTAGGGTTTAAGGTTTAGGGTGGGAGGGTTGGGGTCTTTGGTTCGGGGCCGTTTGGTTCTCAGCGTTCATGGGTGGGGGCGGCTGAGGAGTCTTAGGGGTTTTCAGGGGTTCCTGCCGGAAGCTTCATGCGGGCAGTTGCTAAAGTAGGCTGCGTGGGTCTTTCACGCCCCCAAGAGCGCGACAAGTGATGACTCGTAGTAGCTGCCCTACTTCACTATCACCATCCCAGTGAGAACTACCCATGAGCCTCCAAGGTGAAGCAAACCCTACATTCTAAACGCCACTGAACTTCCAAGGGTTCATGGCTTGGGCCCTAACCCCTGAGCTGCTTGAGGCTTAGTAGCTGAGTGAGCACACTTTTACGCTTTTTGGGATACTATAATCCCCTATAGAACTGAGAGTGTACACGTTTTTTGGGCATATAAACTCAGCAACTAAGGAGGATTGGTTTAGGCCTCAGGATGGGGTGTAGGAAGGGCTGTCTATGACCACCCTTGTTCCTATTTAAGGGGATTGGGCTCCGTTATGGAAAAAAGTCTGCCAAGCACACAAGTACCTTTTTCCCATACAGAAGCCCGAAACTAAGGCTACGTCGGACCTATGGGTAGGTCTACCCTAGGCCTACGGGTAGCCTATGTACAGGCCTACGTAGAGGCTATGCGAGGCTACCTAAGGCTGCCGGCAGGCCTATCCGTAGGCCTACGGGTAGGCTACCGGCAGGCCTACCCGTAGGCCTATGGGTAGGCTACCCGTAGGCCTGCCCATTGGCGTGTAGGTGTGCTGCCGGTGGGCCTGGTCGCAGGCTTCTAAGTAAGCTATCTATAGGCCGACCCGCAGGCCTACGGGTAGGCTACCGGTAGGCCTACCCGCAGGCCTACGGGTAGGCGACCGGCAGCCCTACCCGCAGGCTTATACGTAGTCGAGGCATAGTAGTAGTGATGATCTCGGGGCTGGGGCTCGGGCACAAAAAGGAGGGCCTAAGAGTCCATGCGTGCGTGATTTCTTTTACGGATGCACATGATGTCTCGGGTCGAAAATTTAAGGAGCAGTTTGACGGGTGCTTTCGTCGTTTCTCGAGTCCTGGGGCTCGGTCCAGGGCGTATGCCCGAGGCCCTGGACCGAGCCCCAGGACTCGAGAAACGACGAAAGCACCCGTCAAACTGCTCCCTAAATTTTCGACCCGAGACATCATGTGCATCCGTAAAAGAAATCACGCACGCATGGACTCTTAGGCCCTCCTTTTTGTGCCCGAGCCCCAGCCCCGAGATCATCACTACTACTATGCCTCGACTACGTATAAGCCTGCGGGTAGGGCTGCCGGTCGCCTACCCGTAGGCCTGCGGGTAGGCCTACCGCTAGCCTACCCGTAGGCCTGCGGATAGGCCTGCGACCAGGCCTACCGGTAGCATACCTACACGCCTATGGGCAGGCCTACCGGTAGCCTACCCATAGGCCTGCGGGTAGGCCTGCCGGTAGCCTACCTGTAGGCCTACGGATAGGCCTACCGGCAGCCTACCCGCAGGCCTATACGGGTAGGCCTACGCGTAGGCTGCCCGTGGCCCTTTGATACGTTTACGGGTAGGCCACACGAGGGCCTACGGATAGGCCTACGCGTAGGCTGCCGCAGACTCTACCGACAGGCCTACGCGTAGCCAGCCGTAGGCCCTACAGCTAGGGCTACGGGTAGCCTATACGTTTGGGCTTCTTTACCCTTTTTCCGACGTGTTTCTTTCATTGTTATTGATGTATTTTACTTACTTTTTTGGGGGTGGCGTAACTCAACTGTAACCAAGGGAGCTTGGCTGGCTGTTGCCGTCCTGCTCGTCCTTTGTGTCTGGCGTAGGTCTGGAAGGGCTTCAGGGTCTACACTTCATCGTAACCCTCAACCCCAAAGCCCTCCCTTCGACAATCGGAGATTCGAGGGCTGCAGGTTTCTTGGAGGTTCATGGGTAGTAAGACGTAGGGTTGTAAGTGCACCAGAGGGGGCTAGCCATGAACCTCCGAGTAGGATGACCCAACTTATATAAGCCCTAAACCCTAAACCCTAAACCCCTAAGCCCCTAAACCCCTAAACCCTAAACTCCCCCCTATTCTTACCATCCTTTCATAGGGATGATTAGAATGGCTGTCTCTTGAAGGGGGGTATTCGGGTTCACGGAGCAAGGATGACGTAGGCTTTTTTCCACTAGTTCATATTCTAGCTCAGGGTTGAATCGGCACTCACCACAACCTTGCTTTGAGCACCAAAACGTCAAAACGGGCAGGTTTCAATTTACACCCCAAACCTAAACCCTAAACCCTGAAGGCTTGCTATCAACACCTCTACACACCTGGCAGGAACCCTCAGGTATCCTCCTCGAGCGCTTCCGCTGCAGAGGACGATGGAGAGGAGCGCAGGGCGCCCCGCAGTCATCAGGGATTAGGGATTAGGGTTTAGGGTTTAGGATGCTCAGTGCTTGGGGTTTAGGATCTTTTCGGCCCTTGAACAAAAGGGTTTAGGGTTTGGGGAATAGGGTCTAGGAAAACCAAAATCTCTCAACCCATACGCGCCTTCAACCCCTAAGCTTAACCCTGCCCAGGCTCGCGAGTGCTCCCGCCTCCTAGGCATCCTAGACCCTACCCAAAGGCTCCAATGTAGTTCCTTTTTGGGTTAGTTGGAGGGGATTCTAGTATACTACCCCAAAATGGCTTTGGGTAATCCTTAAACCCTAAACCCTAAATCCTGATGATTTCGGGGCGATTGCAGACGGCTCAAGTGGCACCGGATGAACTTGGGGGGCTTTGTGGGTGGTGGCCTACGTAGTGCAGGTTGCCGAGCCGGCCACAGGAGACGCAGTCAACATTACATACTCCTTATTATGGGACTTTACGCCCTAAACCCTAAACCCGAAACCCTAAACCCTAAACCCTAAACCCTAAACCATAAACCCTAAACCCTAAACCCTGAACCCTAAACCCTAAACCCTAAACCCTAAACCTAAACCCTACGATACAAGGGGTACCGTATTGGGGTTCCCTCTTTTCAAGGGGATCCTACTATTTGGGCTCCCCTATTTTCGTAAACTCCCATGTTCCTGCAATTTTTAGCTATCTAAAGCTTATTAGCACGAACATCTTACATTCGCGCCCCTATAACCAACTGTCCGGAACGCCTTGGCCCGCACTCCAAGCTCCCTGGCCAGGGCATTCTCTCGAAGCCCAACAGCCGGAGCTCTGAGCGGTTCTGCAGTTGGGACGTTGCTTGGGTTTTGGGGCTGTCTGGGGTTTAGGGTTTCGGGTTTAGGGTGTCTGGGGGTTTCAGGGTTTAGGGGGGTTTAGGGTTTAGGGTTTAGGGTGTAGGGGGTTCAGCCCCTAAACTCTCCTAAGCCCTCTAAAGCCTCTAAACCCTCTGAACCCTACAAGCCCGATACGCCCTACAAACCCCATAAGCCCTATAGACCCAATAAAGCCCTATACACCCCACAAACCCTACGAACTATATGAACCCTACGAACCCTCTAAACCCGATAAGCTCTGAAACCCTCAACCCAAGTTGAAGGTGCTACTTGGAGGTTCTTTGGGGTTTAGGGTTTAGGGTTTAGGGTTTGGGGTTTAGGGTTTAGGGTTTAGGGTTTAGGGATCTTCGGGCACTTAAGGGGTTTGATAGTGGGTTATCAGTACAGTTCTAATTGGTTAACAAGTACCCTGAACCCTAAACCCTAAACCCTTGGGTTAATAACTACCATGAACCTCCAAGTACAAGGTGTTTGGGAGACCCCAGGGTCGCTTGAGCTGACGCCTAAGCCCTGAACCAAGCTAACGGGTTGAGGGTTTTTGGGTTTGATGGTTTAGGGTTTGGGGTTTAGGGTTTGCAGAGGCGAAGCAGATGTCTTAGGGGTTTCAGGGTTTTTGGGGGGTTTGAGGTTTTAGGGTTTCTGTGGGCAGTTGTGTTTGCTTACAAGCCTTTACAGCGCTTGGAGTTTTAGGGTTTAGGGTTCAGGGTTTAGGGTTTAGGGTTTAGGGTTGAGGGTTTAGGGTTTAGGGTTTAGGGGTAGAGGGGTAGAGGGGTATAGGGTTGAGGCTTGAACTAAGCAATCGGATCTCAGGGCCGCTCAGGCCTTATGCGCAGGGCTGGCGTCCGATTGGCTGCAGGCAGGCTTCAGACACTGCATGTCTGAACCTAGGCCCCAAGCCCTAAACCCTAAAAACAAGGGTCCTTTCACCTCAGCCCTAGACCCTAAACCCTAAACCCTAAACCCTAAACCCTCACAGGGGAACCAAGCCTCCCAAAGTCGATCCCCGAAACGCCATGCGCAGCATGCGTTGGAAGCCATGCAGAAAGAAGCCGCAAACCCGCGAAGGGGGTTTAGGGTTTAGGGTTTGGGGTTTGGGGTTTAGGGTTTAGGGTTTTAGGGTACCATTATGTAGCTAGTACCCTCAATAGCTGCCATGGCTAGTGGATACCCTACTTTTAACCTGCGTCATGACAAGCCATGGCTTGTAACCCCACACAAAAGCTCAACAAAACGAAGCCCTAAACCCTGAACCCTAAACCTTAAACCCCATCCGACAGCGCGCGACCTGTCCGGCCATGGGCGGACCTGGCTTCGTGGATGGGGAGGAGACTTGTGTGGTTGAGGGATAAACCCTAAACCCCAAACCCTAAACCCTAAGCCCTAAAACCCTAAGCCCTAAACCCCAAACCCTGGAAGCCCTAAACCCCAAGCCCTAAACTCTAAACCCTAATCCCTTGCTGCGGGGACGCGGGAATTCCGCAGTTGCAGTTCTCGGTTCCCTACTTTTTTTTGTTTGGGGGGGGGGGTTTTCGAGGTCCGCAAGTGCCTGTTACAAGATGCCCTAAGCTGAGGCGTCTGTAAGTTGGTATGGCTTAAGTCCCGGCGCTGAATATTCAGCGCTTGGGGTTCAGGGCTTCGGGCTCTCTAATTCCGCAAATAATCGGGCTTCCCGCGGTTTAGGGTTCAGTGTGCAGGGCTCCCCAAACGGCATGCCCAAAGTGTTCCCTACTACTTGAAGGATCAGATTTTCTGGGGGTCCGGGCAACGCTTTGGGAGGTGTCGTACTCCCTATACCACCAACTTACCCTAAACCCTAAACCCTCAACAAGTGTGGGTTCAGGAGCGCGATGAGTTTGCGAACTTCTTCCCATGCCGCATCGAGCCTCCCGGGCCGAAACAGAGCCTCGCAGGGTTCAGGGGTTGACAGGGTTTAGGGGTTTAGGGGTTCAGGGGTTCAGGGATTCAGGGGTTTAGGAAGGACTGAGGCTTCCGAAGCTCATGGGTTGTCAAGATAATGGAGTTCGAGCTGCTGGGCTGAGCCGCTCCTCTTCGCCCGAACCTAAGAGCTAACCCCGAAGTTTAGGGTCTAGAGTCTGGGTTCTAGGGTCTAGGGTCTAGGGTTTAGGGTTTAGGGTTTAGGGTTTAGTGTTTAGGGTTTAGGGTTTAGGGTTTACCAACATACCCGATAAGCCCGACAAGCCCAATAAACCCTACAAACCCTAATACCCTATAAACCCTGCATGCCCTTTTACTCCTATAAGCCCTATAAACCCCCATAAACCCTATAACCCTCACAAACCCTATAAACCCCCCATAAGCCCTATACGTCCTTAATAAACCCGATCAGCTCAGCAAACCCTAAACCCTAAACCCTGGACGCTAATCCTAAACCCTGCCCTGAAAGCTGTTTTCCTGGCTTTGGGATTTTTCGGTTTCGTTGTAAGGGCTGAGGGTTTAGGGTTTGGAGTGTGGGTGTAGGCTTGAGGGTGCCTTGAAGTTTGATTGCTGCGTTTTTAGGTCGTGCAGGTAGGCTTTCGCGCGGCCGCCAAGGAAGGACGGCATCGTCTACCCATCGGCGGAGCATCTGGCACAGATTCGGCTGCGGTTTGTTTCTGACCTGAAGCCCTAAGCCCTAAACCCGAAGCCCTTTGGACCTGCTAAGCTCTTTAAGCCCTTCAAGCCCATTAAACCCTGTAAACCCTTAAAGCCCTTTAAACCATAAACCCGAAACCCGAAACCCGAAACCCTAAACCCTAAACCCTAAACCCTAAACCCTAAACCCTAAACCCTAAACCCTAAACCCTAAACCCTAAACCCTGGCCCTAAACCCTAAACCAATCAAGGCACTTCTTTCAAGCTCACAAGACACTGGACGAGCCGCAGCGGCGGCGGATTGCTTCGGACCCTCGGTGGCCAAGCTGCTGGGTTTAGGGTTTAGGGTTTAGGGTTCAGGGTTTAGGGTTTAGGGTTTAGGGTATCAGGGTTTAGGGTTTAGGGTTCAGGGCTGGTCTCGGGGGTCTCGAGTCACGTAGGGTTTACATAGGGCGGGGGGGGAGGGTTTAGGGTCCCGAAGCCATAAATCCTAAACCGCAAACAAAACCTTCAACCCTAAGCCCGACTTAGGGTCTAGGATCTATGGTTGGAGGTTCATGGTACTTGTTAAACAATTATAGCTGTACTTACAATTGTACTTACAACCGTATTAGGGCACTTAAGGGGCTTATAAGTGGGGTATAAGTACAGTGCTAATTGGTTAATAAGTGCCATGAATCTCCAAGTAGGGGTCCTGACGCCCACTCACGACCCGAAATAAGGAGCACATTCGTCTGGTAGGGGTAGTTTGGGGAACCCGCGCGGTTCCACTTAAAGTCTCCACC